AGTCTTATCATTTTGGACATGAACATTGACTTTGATGTTGCCGTGGTGCAATGCTGCATGTTATCTATTCCCTGACTTGGCCTTAAGAGGAGCAAGAGCTCTAACTGAGGCGTGTTTTCTTGTCTCATGCCAAGATTGTTCCTTGTGTTTCCATTGGTTGCCTGTTTTTCTCATGGTACCCCAGTTTGTTTAGTTTTTGCTACTTTTTCTTTGTTTTGTATTACTTTGCCTGCTCACTTAGTTTCGTTTTTGCCAGTGTTTTTTATTAGCTTTACCTAATTTAAAGCCTGTGTTTAGGTTATTAATCATGACACACATCTATTTAAATTAAGTCAACCATATATTTCTAGGGGACAAAATATAAATATTGTTACACAAATACATGAAAAATAAGAATATTTTTATGATAATTCACCCGGCATATTTTGTATTTCCTAATTTACTTCACAAGTGCAGTTTAAAGTAATTACTTATGACTCATATGCTCTAGATCTTAGAATTGTCATTAGTCTTGGTCTTTTTCTCCACTAAAAAAGTATCTGAGAAGAAAACACCTTTTATGAAACCCTTCCAATTTGTTCAGAAAAAGTTTATGTAAAATACGATAAAAAGAGGCGTATCGTATTTGTTCAGTGTAGCAAATACAATAATGGATGGATTTAGATTAAATCGATCAAATGATATGAAAGCTATTGGAAATAAATAAGACGTTTAAATAAATAAAAAAGCTACTTAAAAATCTTAATAAAACCTTCATTACAAACTAAATCCAATAAAAAGGTGTCTTTTTTGTCTGCCTAGATATAATATCTTGTATAGATTTGGATTTGGATCAAAAAACATCGAAGCTATGAAAAATACAAAATGGATCAAGTATATATTTTTTAATAATGTTAAATCAATTCTTGATTAATTAATTGTATTAAAGTTTACGTATTAAATAATATAAGACATCTATTCTAAAAATGTTCACAAGTTTCCAATATGAGCTCAGCCTCCTTTCACTGCCAACAGTCTGTGAAACCATGAAATAAGACACCGGATCCAGAGTAAATGTCTGTTTGATAGCCAAACTAAGACTCACTTCACTGTGGTGCCACCTACTTCCTGTTTTGCAAGTTATTTTTGATATGGAAAATGGGTTGGATTCTCTCCCCTCCCATTGGCTGGTTGGCTGTCCTCATAAACATATTTTAGGTTACTCTTGAGGTATAACATTTGTATAAAAAAAGAGCAAAGCCGAGCTGTGCTGTCAGATTCAGATCATAGATGCATTTAATAGAATCATCCTTATTAATATTTTATGAGAATATTAGAAATTCAGATTTGTGAATTTTCCTTTCAAGGATTTCAGTTCTGTCTGTGGCAACTGTCAGACAAACACAAACCCATATTGTGGATATTAATAAGTATTGTTTTATATAATGATGTTATTCAAGGGAACAAAATATAAAATGTTCCATGTTTGTAGTGCATTGTTAAAAAAAGGGTAAACATTACCGTAACATATTTCCAGGGTTAGTCAAATGTACGTTATGCTACTGGATTTAGCTAATTGTCCATTCTCGAATGATGACTGTCTTGATATGTTATAGAATACATCTACTATTTCAGTAAGGTGGAAGTGAACTTGATGACTCAATAGCTACTTCGTGTAATGTTTTTATTGAGGATTTTGGTGCACATACAGAGTCAGTTTGGTAAATATAAGCTAAAGAGATTGAAAACTACTCTAAATGGTCAACTTAATGTTAGACAAATCCCTGCTTATTTAATCAAATGGCAGGGTAAAGTCAATGCAAAAATGTTAATTTGATTGTATTTTTTTCCATATGACATACTCAAGCATGAACAAGAATGCATTTAAGAGTACTGTTGAACAAAACTTTGCCATCTTTTTCAGTGCTGCACTTGTTCCTGAGAAGGTCCAACATGCCTGCTCTGATCTCTGGGGTGAAGGACTGGTCGAAGTGATCTTTGGCCGTCATGAAATTCAGCAGACGTTGTCCAAGCTGGCTGCTCGGAGTGAAGCACTCAGAGATGTCGAAGGAGTTGGGAATGGTGTGTTCATCGTATTTCAGACCAAGGCTTTTCAAGCAGGCAATAATCTCTCCGGAAGAGCGATACTCTGTGATGGCGTCGACACAGAGATCCTTCTTGTAGGTCTTCCACAGGGTGTCCCAGCCACTGTTAGCTGGATAGCATGAGATATACATAGTACATTCATTTCAGAAGAAACATATTGTTACACAACAAAACATAGATGTTGCTGTCAAAAGATACTCTTGGTCATTTTAGGATCTCATATATTAGGCAAGAAGGTAGCTTCAACAGTCCTCAACACAAACAACCACAAAGAGGATATTCTTTAGGGTAAATTAAGAATGTGCATCGTTGAATGTCTGGTTGGACACAGATATGAAAAACGTTGGAAAAGAAGCAGTATTGAATTGCAATTGTTTCTTGAGTTACCTGCTTCAATGATGATCATAAGCCTGCCATTGTTCTTCAGCAGACTTTGGAAGAACTTTATGGTGCCGGCGAGGTTATCAACATAGTAGATCATCTGTGAAGGACAGAGTTGTGGGGAACCTTAAAACTGACCTTTACAATTGAGGTTTGCATCATGTTATACAGTATGTAAGACTATTAATAGCACCTAACATTATACTTTGGCAGAAAGTGCTATGCTGATTTGCTCCCCGATGAATTTAAGCAGCAAGAGATAATTGAGTGGGGGGGGGGGTCTAAAAAAATCTCATTGGATAGTTGAGACACTGGCAATATACCAGCAGTTTACATTACTCTTTAGTCTACCTGCCTTTCAGGGGGTAACCGAGGATAACATGTTAAGCATAGAAGCTATAAGTTAGTCAAAGCGAAAATGGTTTTGTAATTTAAACTTTTTAGATTTAATGACCGAGAATCAAAGTCATATACCTGAATCATGTGTATGAAGTCAAATTTCTTCACGTCTCCTTTAGCTTTGACTTGCTTCTCATAGTCCTCACTGTGCATGATATACCAACCAAAGGGGATCTTCTGAAGGTTAGCGATCTTTGCTACCGACGCTAAAAAACAGAGATGCAGACACATTTGTTAGAGTTTATGAAAATGTGAGCCATGACCTAAAAACTACATACAATAAGAGTAAGAAGAAAGTAATGAACAGATACAATTATACTTTTTCATTGTGTTGAGTTCTGAATGGTTAATACCTTTGAAGTTGTCAGTAAGTTTGGAGCTGCCCTCCACAATGTCAGCAGAGATCGGGACAGCAGGGAATGTGGACTGCAGCAGAGTCAGCATCTGGGAGTCCATCTCACCTGGAGGAAAACAGGTAGTCTTTAGACTTTTAAATCATGCTGCTTCTCTTTGAAACAATCATCCACCAACATTAATGACATACAGTAGCTTTGAATTAAAATAATATTATGTAACATTCCAGACACATTTTAGATTATTAGTTTAAAGCCATGTACGTGAAAGGGGATTAATTCAACTTTCCTGTAAAAATAAATAAATAAATAAATATGCTGTATGAGGTTAATATAGGACCTCAGAAGCCTGACTGAGTTAACGTCTTTCATTAGAAAACTCTCTCATGATGTGTGCCCAGAAAGTGTTTTCTTGCTACAGTGGAGTAACTTAATTAAAAGAGTAGAATTCATTCTGAAAAGGTTGTACATTTGAAAGATTATTTAAATATGTTAAATAAAGATGCTGTAATCACACTGTAATGCATCCCTTGTACTCTTGCACTTTGTGATCACACACTAGTTAGTATCTGAGCTGCTGTGATTCATCACATACCTCCACCGCTTCCAACACCTAGAACATCCAGACTGCTTTTGCCTGCTCCAATTCTGCATCAACACATGACAGGTGGAAAAGAGACACTCAGCTTAAGGATGCAATTGTAAATTACAATTTAAACCGTAAATAAATGAAAAGTTGAAATGAACAAATCCCTCCAATCAGAGATGGAACGCACTGTTACTTTTAAGACATTCTAGTTCTAATTCTTATTTGTCTAAGCATTAAGTGTTGGGGCAGCAAAAGCCTAAATACCTATGAAAACCTGCTTACAGTATTTGTTTATTAAAATATTCATACAAAATTGTACCAAAAACCTATTTCTTTTCCAGTGTAGTAATACAATGCTGGATTGATGTTAAGTCATTGGCTAACAATAGATGGAAAAAGCTATTGAAAAATGTTTTATCTCCTATTAAAATATTGATTAAGTTAGCAGGGAGGTATTGAAAAAGACATTGGTTTTGTGTCATTCAAACAGACATGTATTGATGATTACTAAATTAATCCCTGTGGTTAAGAGTGACTCGTATGGACAAGGATGTGAGACAGAGTAGGAACACGCTGTTGGTGAGTGTCTGTCAAATATCCAACCTAGAACTAACTTCACTGCGGTGGCACCCACCCACTTCACTGTTATCAGGGTTGTTTGGACATAGAAATTGGGCACTTGTCCTAAAAAAACATTGACTTTGGACGAAAACATTTGTTGTTTTACTGTTGAAATATGCAAGCTTTGCTCAATGAAATGACAAGCAACCTTATCTCTCTTTGAACGAAAACATACCAAACTTTGAGAAAAGTTATTGAATGAAAATGATCTAAATGATCCCTTTGTCTTCAAAAGGCAGCCACAACCTCTACTGAGTGAGTTATTAGTTAATAGGTGAACAACATTTTTCTTTTAATGCAGCACTCCTTTCATGTAGTAGCCTACCTTTGAAATTCTCCAGGCAGGACATTGTGAACACACTGCATGATAGCCTCATGCTCTCCAGAGTGTTCTAGGTAGAACTGAAAGCTTTGGACGCAGTTTCCTTCATAACAAGTCTGCTTTGCTTCTGCAGCCATGACTGATTCCTGCAATGTATAACAAAAAGCGGTTGCAAATCAAACATTAATGATTGAAGCATGCATAGAAAAACAATCTCTGATTCACTATGATAAGCAGTATTTGTCAAGTATTAAACAGATACCTTGAGTGTGCAGGAAAGGAGAACAGAGAGTGAATTGTTCCCCACTTTAAGGCTGCAGAGTTTTCCCCTCCCACAGGCTGTCCTCAAAAAACATGTGTTACGTAACTCTTGAGGGATGAACTTTGCATGCGCACCAGAGCAAACTGCAGCTGTGCGGTCAGATTGCTGTTCAGTGAAGATTCCAGTGACTACTAGGAAATTATCCTTATCATTAGTGGAAGAGAATCATAGACATCCTCAGAAAATGGTTTCAAATGTTTAGTTAGTGTATTCTCTGTGGCAACATTCAAAGCTAATTTCAGATCAACCTGCCAAACTAATTCAGGTCAAAAGTAAGTGTGTGTGTGTGTGTGTGTGTGTGTGTGTGTGTGTGTGTGTGTGTGTGTGTGTGTGTGTGTGTGTGTGTGTGTGTGTGTGTGTGTGTGTGTGTGTGTGTGTGTGTGTGTGTGTGTGTGTGTGAGAAAGAGAGAAAGATGCACGTCTTTGTTTGCCTTATCTTTTTGGCATGGTATGACTGAACTTGCCGTGGTGCAATGGTGCACGTACTGTACTCTATCCCCTGAATTGACCTCAAGTAGGGCAAAAGCGTTCTCTTAGAACTCATCACTTATTATAAGTGCAAGTTAAACATTTTCATCAAGTCTGTCGTCTTGAAATAAACATAAGGATCCTTTCTTAATAAACAACTGCCCCGCCTGACCAGTTGGCAGTGCGGTACACATGGCACAACTATCCAGGAACCTGATCCGGCCTTTTCCTGCACCTGCTCCTTCTGTCCAGTTAGTGATTCAGTCGTCACTGCAACTGCCTCTACTGTCCAGTAGAGGCAGTCTGAGGAAAATTGGTTTTGTGTCATTAAAAACGGTATTTCTTTTTTTTTGATGTTGTAGAATACCCCGCCCTCTTTTTCAGTGCTGCACTTGGTCCTGAGAACGTCCAACATGCCCGCTCTGATCTCTGGGGTGAAGGACTGGTAGAAGTGATCTTTGGATGTTATGAAATTAAGCAGATGTTCTCCGATCTGACTGTTTGGATTGAAGCACTCAGAGATGTCGAAGGCATTGGGAATGGCGTGCTCCTCGTATTTTAGACCCAGGCTCTTTAGACAGGCGATAACGTCCTCTGATGAGCGCCAATCTGTGATGGAGTCTACCCAGAGCTCCTTCTTGTAAGCCTTCCACAGGGTGTCACTGCCACAGTTAGCTGGACGGTTTGAGATTAAAAAAATACATTAATGGCAGAAGAAATACTGTAGATTGCTAATAATGGTTACCATTTCAAATTGTATTACAGTCAAGAGGGATTCATGGTCATTAATGATCTTATCCAGAAGCCTCAACAATACTCAACACATCACTTCTTACTGGCTGCCACGATGATCATAAGCCTGCCATTGTTCTTCAGCAGGCTGTGGTAGAACTTGATGGTGTCGGCGAGGTTATCCACATAGTAGATCATCTGTGAAGGAGAGCATTATGGGAAAATCTAACCTTTTCAATTAAAGCTTGCATCCATGCAAGTACACAGTCTGTGTTTTCATGTCTAGGACAAATATGTCAGACTATACACTGCTGATTGCTAAACACTTTTTTTTCAGCAGAAAAGGTCATGCTTATTTGCTCTCAATGCATGGACACGAAGACCTGAAAGGGAACGCTAAAAATAATCATTTCAATTTAAAAAAGAATCAAAAAATCTTAAAAAGTTATTTTACCTGAATCATGTGTATGAAGTCAAATGTCTTCATGTCTCCTTTTGCTTTGACTTGCCTCTCATAGTCTTCACTGTTCATCAAATGCCAAGCAAAGGAGATATTCTGAAGGTTGGCGGTCTTTGCTACCAAAGCTATAAATTGGACATACAAAAACAAAGCAGACAATATAATTGCAAGATATGTAACGTATACAGTGCATCAGAACAACAGGTATAGTTGCTAGCAATCCATTAACTTCCACAATTGCCCACAGTGCTTTGAGGACACAGAAGTTAGTTTTATGATTCAAAACTTAATGTTATGAGTAAGCCAATAAAATGGATAACCTATAACATTATGTGATAAACCCTTGATTACTTAAGCCTTGATTCAGAGGGCACAGATGTTCGAGAGAAGTCTAAGACACAATGACAATAAATCATTGATCTGCGTCTCCCCAAATGTTTTTAAACCATCACCATGCAATGTTAAATAGCCAAAAAACATTTGTTAGAGCTGAATTAACAGTTATACAGAAATAACAATTATAACAAATATATATAACTTGGATTGTATTTGCATGATCCGCTGAAAGAGACAAAGACACATGTGGAAGGAAATGATACAAAAATATGGTACTTGTGGGTTATCTGTCGCCACTTTTTAATAGCGGTAAACTGGCTCCTCCACATTAACTTTTTCATTTCTCAAAATAACAAAATCATTCATCCTAGGAGTTATTTATAGAGTCTTAACAAAGGAAAAAAAGTGTGTATTTACAGTCTGAAAAAAACTAAAAAAGTGGCGACAGATAACCCACAAGTACCAAAAATATATTTTATTTTGCAGCGCTCTAAATGGTTAATACCTTTGAAGTTGTCAGTAAGTTTTGAGCTGCCCTCCACAATGTCAGCAGTGATCTGGACAGCAGGGAATGTGGACTGCAGCAGAGTCAACATCTGGGTGTCCATCTCACCTGGAGGCCACCAGACAGCCTTTAGATTTGAGATCACACACTGACTCTTTTGCTCCAAAAATATAAAAAATATATTACAGCCGTGTGTGAGTGTGTGTGTGAGAGAGAGGCATAAAGGAAAATGTTGTGTTTTTACAACAGAACTCGTTTCTCATACCTCCACCACTTCCGACACCAAGAACATCCAGACTGCTTTTACCGGCTCCAATTCTGCATCAACACATGATTTACAGTAAAAATGATTGCAAACAAATGAAAAGTCTTAAGACCTCTAATTAATAGAACATCTCTTGTACTGTAGGCCTACCTTTTAAATTCCCCCAGCAGGATGTGGTGAACACCCTGGAGAATGCGCTTGTGCAGTCCAGACTGTTCTAGGTATACCTGGTAATTTTGGAGAATCCTGCCCTCATAACAGGTCTGCTTTCCATTTGCAGCCATGCCTGTAGAATCTGGAGAACCACAGAACGGCCGGTCGTCAAGGGCTGTTGACGGCCGGCAGGCCCTTTAAAAAAAAATTGTTTAAAGTCATCATTTAAGTTGCGCTGACGGCCGACAGAGGGCGACAACGGCCGCTAATGCAGTTGTGTGGTTCTTATCTGTCAAATAATCACACACGAAGAAGAAAAAAGACCGGCCACACGAAGGTTGCGGTCGAATAGTCCATTTAGCTTAGGAACCTTCCTAACGGAGTGAAATGACCCGGAAGTCCCTCAGTGGCAGCCATGATAAGTGCCGTTCGAATTCTCTAAATGAAAGGAAAGGAGGTTTCAAACTTCCTTTATAACCTCCTTTAGCTTAGGAACCACTGGACCTCCCTAACCGAAAGGAGAGGAGAAAATGCTGCCCCACAATGCCTTGCGGCCGCGGCATCCGGAAGAGTGGAACACGCTAGCAAGTGTGCAGGTGTGCGTCATATGAGAGGCCCCGCCTTACATCTTCCGCCACAGATTTGGGGAAATTGGTCCGTGCGCAAAGCATTGTGGGGATTTTAAGACCGCGGAGTCTACTCATGTGCAGCCTCGATATTTCTCCAAACAGAGTACGCCGGGCTCGGTAGATTTCCAAGTATGCTGGAGATTGGAACAGTACTTCGGCGGCACTCGATGACGTAGTATGCTTGAAATAGTGGCTCTGAAGCAGCTTTACTCGCAATTGAGAAACACTCACAGAGAATGAAAAAACATGGATAAAAATAAAAGAAAACGAAAAGAAAAAGGTGCGGCCGAGAAGGCAAGAGAAAAAAAGGTGAAGTCACTCGCAGGTGATGCATATAAATGTCGCAAATTGACAGACCTTTTTGGCAGCAGCGCTGCTACAAGCACTATCAGCAGCAGCTTAGAACAAGTGCAAGATGATGAAGAGAATGATGAGGGCGCGAGTTCAGATATACAGCCAGCCTTTCCGTTCATGATGAGGGACAGAGTTGAGCTGGTGGAAGAACCAGCTCAACTCTGCAATAAAAGTGCAGGGCAAGAGCAAGAGGTGGGTGAGAATTATCCCTTGAACTCAGTGGCGTTTTCTCCTGGAGGCCAAGGGAAGCGAGGCTTCCCCTGTTTTTTTGGATTGTAGTTATAATTTTAATAAATAAATAAAAACACTTCGTTTAGTTTCGGTAATTATTCTGCCGGCCCATCTCTCCCCCATTCTCATTGAGTATTTTACAAAGAGTGAAACAGCGCCCCTCTAGATGTTATGGTGAAACAGTAGATTGCACTCTCTGTTGCGAGAGGAGGCTAGCCGAAATTGGCTTCCCTTGGTGAAAAGAAATTGAGGGATTGACCAATCAGATGAGGCTCACGTCATGCCTCACAATCCAATCAAATCGCATCAACTTCAGTTTGTACTGTAACTGTCATCACCGCCCTTAAAAAGTAGCAAGCAACTGAAGCAAGTGCAATTATGGAGGGTCGAGATTTGGATTATTTCATAAAAAATAATTTTACTAAACTTCCGCTACTACAGCAGCAACTAAAAATGAAATCTGATGACAGGCCAATGCCCAAACTGGAGCTGTGTACAGAGAGGGAAAAAGGAGCGAATCGGACTTAAAACTTTAAATAATAAACAGCGGATTTCTAACATTTGACATTTCATGTGGCCGGACTGGGTCAGTTTCCATGGCTGAATTTTAGTCCCAGTCCGCCCCTGGCCATGACTGATTCCTGCAATAAATTATACATAGCGGCTGGAATTAAAACAAGTTGCAATGATTTTTTTTACCACAAAAGACAAGAATTGTACAACATTTAACATCAATCCGAAATTGTCAGTATTCAACTGCGGATTTTTGGAGGGCAAAGAGTTGTACCGAATGTACCGGTACCGGGATGAATACGAGTTGTGTGAGGACAGGACACCGAACTCTAGTGATGTTACGTATTGCGCCGAGGCTTCGGAACGTGTGTCGAGTAATCCCGGAAGTTTTTTGTGAAGCTTGTATCGAGCATAGACTGTATATATAAATGGACGTAGGGTCCGTGACGTCACCCATAGGATTCTGCAGAGTTGCCGAGAAGCCCTTAGTAGGCGGAGTCGGCCACTAACGGCTCGACAGTGGCGTCAGAGTCTAACTCCCGCCTGCTACATCCTGATCCAAATAAGGGCAAAGAGGCGGAGCCGTGGCGGAGACGAGGCGGGACAGGGCGGGACCTTCTGCCAACGGCCGTCAAGTTCCAGACCTAGCTCAGGCTAAGAAGCTAAGCTAACATGCTCACAGTATTAAGCTAACAACCCAGCTTGCGGTCACTGCTCCTCGTTCCTGGCGTTCTGAAGGTAAGATCCCCTGTAACTTTACAAAACTTGTCCTTTTGATTTAAATGTTCTTGAACCTACACTATACAATTGTTTTTTAAGTGCTTCACCGTTTTTCAAATATAAATGTCATTTGTAACAACTTTGTAAACTAGCAGAGATATGGCCAGTGTTGCGTGAATTAGCCTATGGAATTAGCCATAAACTGTGGCCTATACAGTATGTAAAGGAATTAGCGTATTGTGAATTAAACAAAGCTTTTCCCTATGATTTAACTGTTCTTGATATTACACTATACAAGTTTAAAAACGCTTCTCCATGATTCAAATATAAACAGTGTAATATGCATGGGCTAACAAATGCAAAATTTGCATATTTATACTTTTTGACCATCAATTGGATATACATTTAATCCAACGTTACTGTTTCAACAGCGCTGTGAGAGTATAAATTAAATATGACTGTAGAAAAAGAAAGGCGCTTTTATATTGATTAAACCATTTTTATTTCTTTCAGCATTAAGAAAAAAAGATGGCAACCTCCTCCACAACCTGTAAGTTGATGGTCCTGGCTTACTTTACATGACTTCAGATGGTTGACATTACACACAAACATACTATATCTATATCTATATACATATATATATATATATACGTCAGGTGTGATTTCATATGTTATGTTGTATGTTATTGTCAAAGGAACAAAATGAGCAACCCTTTATACTTAATTTGATATTCCTCATTATCTGAAGCATTTGTTACTCTCATTTATTTTCCTCCCATAGTGACTGTATGGATAATCGGAGACAGCTATGTCCGGCGTGGAGCCCAGAGAGCTACAGAGACCATCGGCAGCAACCTTGGCCTCGACCTTCGCGCCTGCTGGTTCGGTTGGGGTGGACTGCGCTGGAGAGGTCTCCTCCCCTTCTTTTCCAACTCCCTGCAAGGAAGAGCAGCCCCGGATGTCCTCCTCATCCACTGTGGCGGCAACGACTTGGGGGATGTGCCCAGTGTTCACTTGGTGAATCAGATGAAGGAGGACCTGCACCAGCTTCACCATCGGCACCCTGGCATGAAGATCATGCTCTCCCAGATCAACCAGAGGTGCCGATGGAGGGCTGGTGCAAATCCTGTCAAAATTGACAAGGCCCGGAAGTTTGTTAACAGTGTTATGGCTACTTTTGTTCATAGCCTAAATGGTGCCATTGTTGACCACTCCAACATTAGACATGACAGTCCTGGGCTTTTTTTGCGAGATAGAGTTCATTTCACCCCTAGGGGAAATGATATTTTTTTAAAGTCACTAGCCAATTGCCTGAAAGACCATCTCCAAAGACTGTGAACTGCTAAAATGTCAGTATCACTGTTTTTGGATTTGGCCTTTAGAGTATGTTTTCTAAGGCCCTTGCTAAGCCCAGACTGTCATGGCTAATGTTGAGTTAGATATTACATCTGTAGCCATAACACTGTTAACATGGCTGCTCTTCCTCTTCCCCACATCCCACCCCCCCCTCTTCCCCCCAATGGACTCTGTAGCTCTCCAGGCCCATGCTGGGCATGGCTGTCTGTCAAACTTTTTTTTTTAATTTGTTATTATGTTTTTTGTTATTTTATTTGTTAAAATAATTCTGTAAATATTTAAAATAAATCACATTCATATTTTCACTTCTTTTGTCTACTGCTTACTGAAAATGTTAGCTATCACATCCAAATCTGACTATCAAATGAAAGGATAAGCTAACCATACAATACAGAAAACATTACACATTAAGGCTCAAATCTTTTCCCAAGCCGTAGCAGTCTGAAAAGAGTCCCAAGTTTAAAAACACAAAATCTTGACAATGAATACTACCTTGTCATTTATCAGTGACAATGCAAACACCAAGAAGGTCTCCCCTAATCCCATGTATTTTGGCATCAAATATGTCATAAGCATACCATAGAATGTAATTATGAAATGCAATACCCACAATCCCTACAGGGTCGTAACATCACAGAAAATAATACCTTTTAGAGAGTTTCTAAATTGTTCAGTATGCAGATAATTATTTGTTTTACAATAGAAACATTTTTCTCAATAAATGTTCCCACATGTTGTGAGCATCAACTTTAAATCTTTTGTCAACAAATAAAAAACATCTTAATTTCCTTTACGACAACATTTTGTTTATAACACCACTACATTAACAATAAGCATAGGAAAATTATAAATGTATAATTTAAGATTGTGCTTTTACTCTATATTTAATCCGATCTATTTCACATTGAAAATGTACGACTTAAGTACACTAGAAAATAAATTAAAGATGTGCAACAACTGTATCAGTAATTAAAATGATATAACTTATGTACAGGGTTGGGAGGGCTACTTGCCAAAAACGCAACCAGTAACTTAATGTGAGTATCAAGATATAAAAGTAATGTACTGTAACCTGATAACTTTATTTTTCTTTTGGATTACCTCAATATCAAATGCAATGCAAATAAACACAGGAGAGAAGAAATATTAATATGATTTTTTTACTTAAATGTATAATATACATAAAGCTGATTCAGGCAGTAGGTGTATAGATTCACAATTAAAGTATTAGCCTACAGAACAGTACCGCTTCCAGAGAAGAGAGAACATCTGATCATTTTACAACAAACACTATATGCTCTTTTCAGGTTTTGAATAAGATTGTAATC